GAGGTCCTTTTCAATCTAATCAGGTTGTAGGTAACATTCTAGCGAATAGCTCCTACCTAGTTCTTTGCTCACCTATGCGTTGTCTTTCTTGGAATTTCTGGGCATGGAATTTTAGGTCAAAGAATGTGCTTATTCTGAAATGCAATAGATTTTCCAAAATGTAACAAATTTTGCTATTCGCAAAAGATGCAATGTCAATGTGCACTGCCCCAGGGCACACATTTTTCTTAGTCTAGTTAGGTGCTGTGGCTCTGCTTGGATTCTTTCTCCTGAGTCTTGTAGGTGAAGACATTCTAGTCCTGGCCTCCTGGGGACGAGGTGCAATCAGTCCCCTTTCTGCTCATCTTGCCACTGCCCTCTCAAACCCAAACTATCCTTGTACCTGTGTAAGCCAAAGGGTTTTCCCCACAGCAGCCTACTCTACCCTGTCTCCTGGGGGAGGAAGGACCCTCTCAGGATGTGAGGGCCAGGGAGGAGGAGTGATTGGCTGGGGCTCTCCAGGTGGATGGAGAAGTGTCGAGCAGCCAGGGCCCTGTCTTCCTGCTGAACACCCTGCCCACAACACGGCATAACCCAAGATGGTGCCCTATATCTGGGGAGCGCAGTGATGTCACTAACAGTCATAGACAGTACTCCACTCCGATGGCTTCTTTTATGATTTTTCCACCTTATAATATGCAAAAGTCAGAGGCGCTCAGTGGCAAGCGCTCTTTGAATTTGGATTTTTTTCTCAGTATATGTGCTAGGATCTCGGTATGTGCTAGGATCCTCTCCCATGGGGCTGGACAGAAGCTGGGAACCGCAGCTCCCACATAGGCACGTGATCACTGGGGAAGCAGTCCAGTGTGCTGTGTTGCTCAGCTAGGGTATTAGGTAGATTAGGTGTATTAAATGTATTTCTAAATTACATTTTCAATTTACAATGTTTTTTTTTTTTCAGGATAAAACCCCACTGTAAGTCGGGGAGCATCTGTATTTAAAACAACTACTTGAGCCAGATTGAGGATATAGAGGTGGATGCCACCCACCTCCTGCCTCCAGGTAGCCCAGAGTCCAGCAGGGAAGAGAGGGAGATCTTGAGGTTGGGTACACACAGGGCATTCTGAGCCATGATGCATGCATGCAGACGTGAGGACCAACGTTGGGACGGTCCCTAGGCAGCAAGGAGGCTCCTCATAGGAGCTGAAACTAAGGAAAGGTGCTTCAGGAAGAGTGAACAGTGGGGGACAGTCCTGTGTGAGGTGGACATCTGGGCATAGCACCTGGGCTTTCCACTAGTGGGAAGCCAGGCTACAGAGTTCCAGATTCACCCAACCATTAAAACTGGGAAGAGTCTAACCTCTAACCTCCAAGTGGGGGAACTCAGACAGTGTGACCCCCATTTAGGAAACCAAAGCTCAGCTGGGTTGGAGGTGGAGGGAGAAGGAAAGAGAAAGAGCCAGTGGCTCTTCCAGAAACTTCAGAACCTTTGGGATGTATTTTCTAGAGTTTTCCCATCAGGAGAGACAGGTGGGTGTGGAATCAGAGCCAAAATACTAAATCTATCTGCCCTGATGACAAATATTGGTTTATCTTAATTTCTGGAAATACACTCATGTCTTTCAGCCCAGGCTCTTTACTCTGTCACCAAGAACAGGGAGCTTAGCAGAGATTAATCGGAGGGAATTTGGCCCTTGGTAGGTGCCTGGCTCTGGCTGAAAATGAAGACTGTGTTTCAGCGAGGAGCTGCCACGGATGGATGGGCTCTCCTGCTCGCCTGGCCTCGGGTGGCCTTTACAGGGGCTGAGACATGACACACTGGCAGATGCAGTGTTCTCAGAGCCAGGAAAGTCAGAGCCAAGGGAGAACAGTCCCTTCCAGACAGCAGGAGCCTCCTCATTACAACGTCTCCCTTTTCCCCCCCGAGAGTGCCCGACATAATTGGATCAAATGGGAACACGAGCCAGTCTCCATCTCGCTCCTGGACCAGAGATTTCCAATATGGCTTCATCACCAAGCCTTTTGTAAATAAACTGTGTGAAGAAAAATGCCATTTGTTCTACCATGATTGCCTGATGAGTAACATTAGATGGGTCTTTGAAATACACAGAATGAAAGCTTTTGGGGTTTAGATTCCTCTGTGCACATCTTTCTCTTGTGACTCTTCTCCATAGAGGAAGTTTCTGAAAGGGGGACTTCTACCACAGAGCTTGGAGCTGGTTCTGGCCAGTGGCCCAAATGCTCTGAGTATTCAACCAACAAGTATTTATTAAGCACCTTTTCCACATCAGGCGATCCTTTAAATACTTGGAATACAGCGCAAATAAAACACAAGCTGATCCCACCCTACTGCAGTTCAATCCTGAGAAGAACTCACAACTCGGATGTGCCCATTTCTGCGTACTGACACAGAAGAATGCCTGATGAATCAGCATTTAATGGACAACTGGGTAACTGTGCAGTTCAAACTATTTTGGGTATGTCTTCATTGTACCTGTGGAATGGGATCGTTTTTTTTTTTGGTGGGGGCGGGTACTGAGGATTGAACCCAGGGGCACTTTGCCACTGAACAACATCCCCAGCCTTTTTTGCATTTTGAGACAGTGTCTTGCTAAGTTGTTTACAGCCTCACTAAATTACTGAGGTTGGGCTTGAACTCGTGATCCTTCTGGCTCAGCCTCTTGAGACACTGGAATTACAGGCATGGGCCACCATGCCCAGCAGAATATGATATTTGGAAAGTTAGATTTCATGGGTCAGGATTATTAAATCAATGACCTATATGCCATCACTCACCAAACCTACACCAAAGCAGACATCACTAATCAATCCATACTCTTTCTGATAAGCCTGGATGCAGCCTCAGAATACATATTAACGTACAAGTGCAGCAAACCCTACCGATGCTCCAGTTGGCTGGTCTGAGACAAAACCTGTTTGCTATTTCTGACTTAAATTTTTACTAATTCGATTCATTAAGAGACGGCAGAACATTCAAGCAAATTAGGAATAATCCTAAGAAGAAGAAAAAACTGAGAAGAAAAGGCAAGCAGCCATTTTCTTAGGCTCCTTTCTCTCTCAATTGCTTTCCTCTGATGTTTTGACAAACACAGCAGGTTAGGACTTTGAAGTCAGGCAGGCTTGGGTTCAGGCCCCAGTTGAGGTACTTCTGACCGTGTGGTCTCAGCCCCCCATGTCTCCCTGTGAAGTGGGTGCAATACGGATCCCACCCTTCTAGGCTGCTGGGAGGATGAAATGGATGTGCAAAGGGCCTGTCCTATTGGCTCTGCTCAGGGGGACACTCTGCTGTCACACACCACAGCAGATGCACATTGCTTGTGGCTGGCACCTTTCTGACTGGTTGGTGCTTATGCCATCAGGGTTCTTAAATAACATGTGTTGACTGTTACCCTGAGATATTAACATTTGTTTTATTTCTTTTGGAGGAGGCTGCTGTCCTCAAGAGGGACAGCTTCAGAGCTCTGGAGGTTAAAACAGACAATACTACCTTTCAAACCCAAATAATGTTTCAGCAGCACTCTAGGTGGCTGTTTTTCTGCTGATCAAGGAGGATTGCAAGTTCAAGGCCAGTCTTGGCAATTAAGCAACTTAGTGAGACCCTGTCTCAAAATAAAAAATAAAAAGGGCAGGGGATGTGGCTCAGTGGTAAAGTACCCCTGGGGTCAATCCTCTGTACAAAAATAAATTATGTTCCCCAGTTCTGACCTGCTTAACCAGTGTTGTATAAGTCATCTTATATTGTAGGTTGATAATGATAGTAACCTTTAGGGTATTTATTAAAAGCACCTAATTAGCATGGTCTAAATTAATCCTCTCAACAACCCATGAGGCTTAAAGCATCACTAAACCCATTTTATGGAAACAGAAACTGAGGCCCAGTGAGGTGATTTCCTTGTGCAGGATCACACAGCTGGTAGGAAGTGGCAGAGCGAGGATCTGATCTTGGCCACCTGATGCTAGCCCTTTGCTTGTTGCCCAGCTCAGGGGGCATCAGGGTTGTGAGTTCACGGGTGTCAGCTAGTGATGGCACTGGCCATCCTTGTGGGCTGGGGATCTGCCTTAGCCAGGTTCTGAACATGCTGGAGGCTGGTGGACCACAAGGGCACAGGAGAAGCTGACCTGTCTCACAGGGCTTGGCCTTCTTCACCTGATGATGCAAAGGAATCCCACAAATAAAGAGGAGAATGTGCACTCACGTTTGAGTAGTTAACTAGTGACTCCTTTACCTCCATTGTCAAGAGTTTCTACAGCCCACGGGCTGATCAAAGAGGTAAATGTTCATTCATGGCACCTTTGACAGTGTGTGTCTACAATCATCAATCACTGGCCACGTTCCCATGTTATATGCTGAGCACTCTCCAGACATTCTCTCAGTTCATCTCCACTGTAGCTCTGTGAGGTAGCTCTTATTATTGTTCCTCTACATCAGATGAGGAAAGCTTGAAGTCAGGAAGCTACTGAGTGTTGGAATGGGGATTTGAACTCAGGTCTTTCTGAGCCCTCAATTGGAGCTTTTACCCTCTGGCCTCTATGTCAAACTCCTACAGTGACGGGTACAAAAGGAGAACTGAGAGGGGTGACCCAGAGGCCAACTTGGTACCTGTGAGGCTACCTAGCTACTCTCAGCACAGCGTTCCTCTAGGCCTGTGCATCCTGAGGCCTTCCTGGCTCCTCCCTCACCATGGGCTGCCGGCATCTCAATCCCAGACGTGCCATCTTGACTGGAAGGGGGGCTTGTCTTATTTCAGAATCAAGAAGAGATGGAAGGCAAATGCCAGCAAGACCAGCCTTTGGCAGCCTGAGGATGCACCCATGGCACCCCCACCCTGTCCCCCACATGCCCACAAGGAGCGGCCCGCTGGCCCCTGGCTTCTTCGCCTGAGGAGCAAAGGGGCCACAGAACCCTGAGAGCCCTGAGTCCGAGATGCCAGGAGGCAGCCTGCCAGGCCCAGGGCCAAGGAGCAGAGTCAAGGGGAAGGGGCTTCTGAGCACTGGCTCACCTTGAAGGAGATCTCATACTGCTCCCCTCCCCAGATCTCCAAGCCGGGGTCGTACCCGCCCAGCTCCCAGAACCACTTCCGATCCACGGCAAACAGGCCACCAGCCATCACGGGAGACCTGTCAAAGGAAAAGAACGAGGCATAAGGATGCAGATGTCCTGGCCTCTCCCCGAGGGATGGTGTTCTGGGTCACTCCTGGGACACGGCTGCGTCGACCTGGGGCTTCAAGGCCCTTTGGGGTGGGGCGCCAGGCTTTCCTCCTTCTTGCCTACCATGTCCCTTCATAAATGCTGCATTTTAACCAAGTAGATCAAAAGTCCCCTACACAATGAACACCTGAGAACACCTGTGAAGTGAAATCACAGTAGTACTTCTTTCCCATGGGCCCCGAGCCGCGTGATATGTACGAATATCAAGTTTCTCTGTACATCTAGTCTCCCCCTAGTTACACAGTCTGCATCTCTGAGCTTGTCTGTGCTGAGACTCTCTTAGAGGGATGAGAAGCATGCAGCTGGAGGGCTCTCGCCAGGCCTTCTGGAACCATTCTGGGGTGGCGCCTAAGGCCCTGCGTCTTCATGGCTGCTGTTCAGCAAGCCCTGCACAGACACTGGTGGTGGGTGCGGAAGTCACGGTCTCTGTTCTTTCAGTTAAACCGGAGGCAAGATAACCTCCATCCTTTTGATCCCTCATTGGTTTACTTGCTGGTCCTGGAGGGGTACAGAGGGAAGTCACTGTCCTCCGGGAGAAGCCAATGCATAGGGCAGCCACCTCAGGACAGAACATGGTTGTGACAAGGGTCCCTGGGAGGGGCAGGCCAGAGCACCACAGGAACATAAAGGCAGGGTTCTGCTTCTCTCCCATTCCTGGGTCTGAGCAGGGTGCAGGGCAGGGCAAAGAAGGGCACTCAGAGGAGGTGGCCTTTAAGTGGTTCTGGACAAGAGACAATGGGCAAAGGGAAGTCACCGAAGAAATGACATCAGCAGGACACAGAAAGGACAAATCAAGGGGCATCCAGGGGAACAGGGAGTAGCCTTCACCATGCTGAGTGCAGAGGACACCATGCTGCTGCCGGCCAGCACCCCCGGCCCCGTCCTCGCTCAGGGCCAGCACCTGGTAGGACCAGTGTTTGCCCTGTGACCATCTATTGGAGTGTGGCTGTGTCTCTCTGATTCCACTGGAAAACTCTAGACCTTCAAACCAGAACATTCCGGCAGCAGCCCCCACTGTTTAATGCTAACTCTAGTGCTGCCCAGGTCAGCAGCCACTGGCCGCAGGTGGCTGAGCCTTGGAATGTGGTCTGAGTGGAGACGTGCTGTGAGTCGACACACGTGGGATTTCCAAGACAGGTTTGAAGACAGAATTTGTCAGTAATTTTAGCATCACTGCAGGTCAGGATGATATTTTGGATATACTGGTTTAAATTAAATATATTGTTAAAATTAATTTTACTTGTTTTTCTTCTTTCTTTTTGTGGTGTTGGGGATGGACCAGGCTTCTCACATGCCCTTCTCTCTCTCTCTGTTTAATGTGGCTACTAGGAAACGGAAGATTACATACTTGTATGGGAACCTCTTGCAGCCTGATCCCCTCCCTACACCTTGGCGAGAGCTTACTTCCTGCCCCACACACTGCCAGTACATTGATAAAAGTATCCAATGCTGCACAAATAGAAGGTGTCACTTGTGTCCACTCCCCTCTGTCTTCTGAAGACGGTGGGGTTTTGGGTTGCTTGGCTGGAGAGTAAACACACAGGTTGGATGGGAGAGACTGTTCCTGACTTAGTGCTTCACAGGAAATCAGACCCAAGACTCTGCCCTTGGAAACTGGCCTGGACTGGAGCCAGGGACACAGGCCAAGGCCGAGTGTAGAAGGAAGGAGATCAGCCTCCAGGCATTTTGGATGCTCAAGGCTTTGCCTCGGGAGGGAAGCTTCTCCTCCAGGCCTGCTCGTTTTCTGCTGTGTTCAGCAGTGATAATAACAACAGCCTGAGTGTCAGCGCTTGCCACTCACTGTACTGCCATCATCTCCAGCTCTCACAGAGGCTGTCCTAGCCTCCTCCTCAGCTGGAGGAATTTGAAATTCAGAAACGCTGTGCGGCCTGCCCAAGGGCATGCAGTTAGTAGGTGGATGGGCTGCCACCAAACCTCACACGGTGACAGCACTGCTGTGCCTGTCCACCGTCCACTCGCTGGCATCACAGGGAGGTGTGTGTGCAGGAGATGACCAGGTTCCTTGAGTGGCCACTCTCTGGGGTTCTGTCCACGTGCAATGCAGAAGAGAGGCTTTGGAGTGAACCCAAGGATATGAAGGATCGAGTCCCTCAGAAAGCACCTGGGCCAGTGGCTCTCTGTCCTGGTCATCTCAGTGACTCCGCAGCTTTAAGAAACAGTGATGCCTGTACCCACCACCAGACTCAGGTGTAACTGGCCTGCGGTGGCCTGAGCATTTCAGTAAGTTCCCTAGGTGATGCCAACATGCAGCCAGGGTTGAGAGGCACTGCTCTAATGTCCAGATGAGGAGACTGAGGCCCTAGAGGACACTGGGTCAGGCCTCTGCTGCTCGCCAGTTGCAAATATGAACTCACGGTAAGGGGGATGAACAGGCCTGTCCGTCTGCTTGGGCCAAAGGCTCCTATAATAATGGGGGTTCTGACTTCCTTTGAGTACCCTGCACATTCCATTTTCAGGGGCTGCTCATTTTGACCTCAGCCTCTGATACTATGTCAACTTGGGCAAGTCTCATTTCCCTCTGAATCACAGGGTCTCAATGGTCAATGGGGATAAGGCTACCTACACCAAGGATGCTATTGTAAGGACAGTGCAGATAATGTTAGCTGGAATTGCTTTGCCACCTCAGGCCAAGTATTAGTTACTTCTGCTGTTGGTCTCCTTCCCCAGGAGTGCTGGCCAGCTGCGGATTGACTCTGAGGCATGTGCAGGCTGGTACTGACCGCGTGACGCGTCTTGGCTGAATAATCACAGCTCTGGTGAGGGAGGGATCTCTGGTGGTGAGCATGTCTAAGGTGAAGGAGGTCAGACCCACTGAGGAAGCACACGGACTCAGTTCCTGGCTTGCGGTGCTCCATCACCTGGTCACTTATCATTTCCATGAAGAAGCCCAGCTGTCCTGACCTCTGAGCCTTTCCTGGGGCTCATAGACCGAGAGGCTGCCACTAGGAACCCCAACATGCACTGTGCCAGAGAAGATGGCTGAGCCAAGAGCCCCTGTTGTCAGATGGGGAGAGCAGGGCAGAGAAGTTGGGGTTCACTAGGGGCCAGAGTGTGGCAAGGCAAGTGTGTCCCTGCCCCACGACAACAATACCTGCACCTCGGTGTAGGCAGCCTCATGTCCAGAGCCTGTGCATACGTCACCTTCTGTGGTAAAAGAGACTTTAAAAGATGTGATTCAGGTTAAGGATCTTGAGATGGGAGATGATCCTGGTGGCCCCCTGTAACCACCTGGGATCAATGTCACTCCAGGGGCATATCAAGGGTAGGAGGAGGGTCAGAGTCGGAGAAGGAGACAAGAGGATGAAGCAGGGAGAGAAACAGATGTGAAGACGCTATGCTTCTGGCTCTGAGGATGGACGAGGGCCATGAGCCAAGGACTGTGCCCAGCCTCCAAAGGCTGGGAAGGCAGGAAAGTGATTCTCCCAGAGCATCTGGAAGGAACGCGGCCCTGCTGAAACCCTGATTTGGGCCCAGTGAGACTTCTGACCACCAGAACTTCAAGTGCTGTTGTAAGCCCCAAGGTTTGCGGTCATTTGTCACAGCAGCAATGGGAAACAGACCCAGCAAGGGAGGCTGGCCTCTGGCTTTGTGTCCAGAGAGCTTCTCTAACCCTCTGGAAGGACAATTAGGGGAGCTGGATGGCAGCAGCAGGAATGGCCCACCTCCTGCTGAAGAGCAGAGCTGGGGCGCCAGGGAGGAGCGAGCGGCTCAGTTCTCACCCGTGTGTGTGCACCCCAGGCGAGCCCTCCCTCTCCTGGGCCTCGGCCCCCTCATCTGCCAGGGGTGGAGCACCTCATCCAAGGTCCCCTCCAGTTTTCACATTCTAGGAGGCCCTGAGTCCAGTCCACACCCCAAACCTCTGGTGGGACAGGCTGCTGTTGCCCTGACGTTTCCAAGGGGGTCTCACAGAAAGAAGGGGAAACTGGCTCCAGAGGCCCAGGGACCCGCACTTTCCCCCAGCTTCTGCCACTTAACAGCTGTGTGACCTGAGCAAGCTATTTAGCCTTGTGGTGTCCCTGTTTGGAAACTGGTTGTAGCTGAAGACTGCTTAGCACTGTGCCTGGCACTGGGGAGGATGATGACGATGATGGCAGCTGGCCACAGGCCTGAGAGGGAGAGAGCATGAGGGACTCCACACATCCCCTGGCAGCCCTGGCAAAGTCCACAGAGGTGGCCAAGGTGGAGGTGACGGCTGGGTAGTCCTGAGCTAGGGCTCTGTGACATGCCAGGAGCGGGAGATACTTCTGCTTAGGATATCTGTCACTTGGCACTGAGTGGGACCAGGAATCTGGGCCCTCTGTGCTGGGCTCTGGGGGAGGTGGCGATCCTGAGCCATGTGTGGGCTGGGAAGCAGTCATGGGGTTGACCAGTAGGATAAACACGGGTCACTCATACTTACTCAAATGGGTCACTGGGGTCAGCTTTCTGCAGTTCTGGAGGGATCGGGATCCGCTTGTAGTACATCTCCCAATCAAAGGCACCCCGCATGGCATCTCCTGCCTGCGTCTCATAACGAAAGTCATCGTGGTCGATCACATCAATCATTGGGCACACGATGGTCTTGCGGTTCCGAGCGATGCGGTCTAAAGCAGCCAAGAGATGCCCATTAGTTGAGGCAGGAGCAAAGTGCCTTTCCTATTCTGCAGCTTACTGTCCTGTTTAACATGTTCTCTGGATGATATCTCTGACCATTTGAGTTTGAGAACCCACAGAGAGGAAGGGAGAGTGTGGGCTTTAATTGAAGCAAGAGGGACTACGATCTCATTCCAGACTTGCCACCCACAATAGTGTCCTGAGATTGAGTCACGAATAACATCTCCAAGGCCCAATGTTCTCTGTGAAGTGGGGTAAGAGGCTCTGCTGCTATGGAAAGAGGCTGATTTCCTTCTGGGAGGACCCCTGTTCTGGCCTTGCCAGGTTCCCATTCTAAGTCCTGATCTTAACTCATGGCCCAAAGCAGCCAGGCCTGGCTTGCCCCTCATGGTAGACTGTCCACCCCTGACAGCTCACGGGTGCTCCTGGCTTCAGTCACCAAGCAAATGGCCTTCCTCAAGTGAGCTCAGCTCAAGTTCTCAAACTATAGAACTATAGAAGAGTGAATGGATTGTCCTGCAAGTTGTGGTTTCACCAAGGCATGCTACAAGCTAGGTGATTTAAGATTGCAAATGAGGGCCTTGACCCAGGTAGCTTTAAGGTCCCTTTTGGGCCTGGAAGAATCTGATCCTATTCCATGTACTCTCTGCCCAACCTAACATCAGAGTTACAGCTTTGGCTTGCTCTGCCCATCAACACACGTCCTGTCAGACAGCCCTGACTGAGGCCAAGGGGTGTCAGTCAATTGTCAGGGCAGATGATCTGCCAGGAGGGCCAAGTGGGCTGTGCTGGGGCACCTGGGTGCTTTGAGCCGGGAGTCAAATTTAAGACTTGCCATGCAGAGCCCTGCACGGCCACAGCAGGCCAACAGCTGCCAGGGCCCATGTTTCACCAAGCTACAGTCCATTTTCCTTCCAGGAGAGAAAGCAGCATGTTTGTCTTTTCCAAAATTGAAGACATAATCAATTCATAGGTGGGGCATGAAATCGATTGTGTGTGTGTGTGTGTGTGTGTGTTTATAATTAATAGAAATGAAGACTGAATGTCAGACTGCATTCTAGGTGCTAAGGAATACCGTGCTAGATGGAATTATTTCAGGGAAAGTGCTGGGTGCATGCCTGTAATCCCAGCAACTTGGGAGGCTCATGCAGGAAGATCACAAGTTTAAAGCCAGCCTCAGCAACTTAATGAGGCCCTAAGCAATTTAGCAAGACCCTGTCTCAAATAAAAAATAAAAAGGGCTGGGGATGTGGCTCAGTGGTTAAGCACCTCTGGGTTCAATCCCTGGTATTAAAAAAAAAAAAAATCAGGAAATGTGTTTCAGCAGTACTGTGTGACCATGTGCAATTCTGTATTGGATTCAGGTGTCAAATGTGCTTCTAACTGTGACACATGGTTATAAAAATGTTTGAGAAATAGTATTTTTGACAACTGTACCTTCAAGGATGGCCTGAGAACCACCAGTGCCAGATGTACCCAGGGTGTGATTTAAAAAGTCCCTATGCCTTCTCACATCCCACTTAGAATTGGGGGTTGGCTTGGATCTGCTCTCTGGGGATTTTCTCTGTCTCTCTCTTTTTTGTGGTCAGCACTCCACCACTGAGCCACGTCCCCAGGCCTCTCCCTGCTTAAAGATACTTAAAGAACTGCTCCAGGGAAAAATCTAGAGGAGGGCCTCCCTTCTTAATTACTCCTGGACATTCAGGATACTTTTTGTCCAAGGAGGGCTGGGGCAGTGCACACAGCACCCTGCTGGCTGCTGGCTGATGGTGGGAGGCGTTAAGCCAAGGCCCTCAGAAGGCCACATCCTGTACATTATGCTCACCTGGAATGGCCAGGTTTAAATCCTGTTTTTGTATCAGCATCCATTCATGTTTAAAACACTAGAAAAACTAGGGACAGAAGGAACATACCTAAACATTGTAAAAGCTGTATATGGCAAACCCAAGGCCAACATCATTCTAAATGGAGAAAGACTGAAAGCATTCCCTCTAAAGACAGCAGCAAGACAGGGATGTCCACTTTCACCACTTCTATTCAACAGTCCTTGAATCCCTAGCCAGAGCAATTAGGCAAGAGAAAGAAATTAAAAGGATACAAATAGGAAAAGAAGAGCTTAAGCTCTCTGTTTGCCGAGGACATGATCTTATATTTAGAAAACAAAAAAATTCCACTAGAAAACTTATAAAACTTATAACATAAATGAATTCAGCAAATTAGCAGGATACAAATTTTAAAACCCAGGAATCAATCATATTCGTATATTCCAATGATGAATCAGCTGAAAGAGAAATTAGGAAAACCATCCTGCTGGGAGCCATTAGCCAAGTAGGTATGACAATTTCCTTGCCAGCGTACCCCATGTTGCTGACATGTTGCAGCGACATTGAATGTAGGTGACCTTGCTCAAGGACCAAGGCAGATTAGGGTGTTCCCGGTTTTAAGATAATCGTGTTTAGGGCGTTCCCAGTTTAGGTTCCACGTTTAAGGTTTAAGATTATTCCTGCTGGGAATAGGGCGTATCCTGCTGCCTGAGTTCCCCTTGAGTTCTCACGGGATTCAGACAGTATATTTTGGGAGATAGAAGCCCAGTGGAGGTGGATTTGGGCAGAGAACGTGAATTTGGGCAGAGAACGTGGATTTCCCCAGAACGTGATTGTAGACGGCTGGTGTGAGTTCGGGAATAAAGAGTTGCTGTTTGAATCTACAAGCTGTGTGGTGGCTCCTGATTGTGTGCCCAGCCAGACTGCGGCATTTGTGCCCAGCCAGACTGTGGCACCATCCCATTCATGATAGTCTCAATACACACACACACACACACACACACACACATACTTGGGAATCAATCTAACAGAAGAGGTGAAGGACCTCTACAATGAAAACTATAGAACACTAAAGAAATAGAGGAAGCCCTTAGAAGATGAAAAGACCTCCCATGCTCTTGGACAGGCAGAATTAATATTGTCAAAATGGCCATGTTACCAAAAACGCTATACAGATTCAATACAATTCCCACCAAAATCCCAATGACATTCTTCATAGAAATAGAAAAAGCAGTCATAAAATTTATCTGGAAAAATAAGAGGCCCGGAATAGCCAAAGCAATCCTTAGTGAGAAAAGTGAAGTAGGAAGCATCACAATTCCAGACCTTAAATTATACCATAGAGCTATAGTAATGTGGCACCAAAATGAACAAGAAAATGAATTGAAGACACATAGAAAACCCCACAAAACACAGTTACCTCATACTTGGTAAAGGTGACAAAAGCAACAACCAGAGAAATACCCTTTTAAACAAATGGAGCTGGGAAAACCGGAAATCCATATGTAGTTGAATGAAATTTAACCCCTATTTCTCACCCTGCAGAAAACTCAACTCAAAGTGGATCAAAGACCTAGAAATTAGACCAGAAACCCTGAGCCTACTAGAAGAAAATTTAGGCCTGATACTCAAACATATTGGATCAGGAACTGAATTTCTGAACAAGACCCCTAAAACACAAGAAGTAAAATCAATCTTTCATAAATGGGATGACATCTGACTACAAAGCTTTTTCACAGCAAAGGAAAAAAAATCAAGAACATGAAGAGAGAGCCTACAGAATGGAGAAAATCTTTGCCACCTGCACCTCAGAGCATTAATTTCCAGGATATATAAAGAACTCAAAAAACTCAGCATAAAAAATAAATAACTCAAACAATCGATGGACAAAGAAACTGAACAGACACTTCTCAGAAGAAATACAAAGTCAACAAATATATTAAAAATTTGTTCAATATTTCTAGCAATTAGGGAAATTAAAACTACACTGAGATTTCATGTCACTCTAGTCAGAATGGCAATTGTCAAAAATTCAAGTGACAATAAATGTTGGCAAGGATGTGGGGAAAAAGACACACCCATACATTGCTGGCGGGTGTGCAAATTGGTGCAACCACTCTGGAAAGCAGTATGGAGATTTCTCAGAAGACTTGGAATGGAACCACCATTTGACCCAACTATCCCACTTCTCATTTGTTTGTTTGTTTGAATAATTTACACTCCTCAGTTTATATCCAAAAGATTTAAAATTAGCATACTGCAGTGACACAGCCACTTGATGTTTATAGCAGCTCAGTATACAATAGCTAAGCTATGGAACCACCCTAGATACCCTTCAACAGATTCATGAATAAACTGTGGTACATATACACAATAGAATATTACTCAGCCATAAAGAAGAATGACTTTATGGCATTTGCAAGTAAATGTATGTACCCGGAGATATCATGCTAAATGAAATAAGCATTTCCCCAAACAACAAAGGTCAAATGTTTTCCCTGATATGTGGAAGCTAATAAGGGGGAAGAGGAGAAGAACAGATATTCAGTAGATTAGACAAAGAGGATTGAAGGGAAGGGAGGGGGAATAGGAAAGACAGTGGAATGAATCAGAAATAATTTTCCTATGTACTTATATGACTACATCATAGTGAATCCCACCACCATGTACATCCATAATAATGGGGTCCTAACTAGAATAAGATATATTCCATGCTTGTACGATGAATTCTACTATCAAAATGAATTCTACCATCAGGTGTAACTAAAAAAAACAATTAAAAAAAAACCCCTGTTTTGTTGCTTTTTAGTAGATCACCTTGGATAAGGCTTTCTGACACATCTGAGCCTCCGTTTCCTGGCCAACACAATGGAGGAAGATGTCACTTATCTCATGGGGGATCTTTGAGGAGAATGAGCAGATAATGGAGCCAAGATGCTTGGTGCAGCCTCCAGCAAGATCAGCACTGGGCTGACAGTCTCTGTGACGGGGGTTACTGAGAGACGCGCAGAAGCAGGAGTTGGGAGACTGAGCAGTTCCTTCATCTCTTTGCCCCTTAGTGTCCTCATTTGCAAACTGTGGATGATAATGCCTCACCTGCCAGCTTTACTAAGTGACAGTGAAGTTTTTAAATGTGGACATGGCTTGAAACACTAAGGGGCCATCAGCATGATGATGATGATGATGATGATGATGATGGAGATGAATGGGAAGCAGGAGGAGATGAGGATCAACAGCGACTTTCTTGGCGGGGGTGGGGGGGGTGAGTCCTTTGTGGGCTCAGAAATTTCTAATCTCTGAGGAAGACGGAGCGAGCCATGCATGCAGGTGTTAATGGTTTCCCAGACAAAAGCCATGCTGCGCTCTGTCAGCTGCTGATATTAGAGGGAGAGACTTTTACATCGACACCACGGGTTCACATTTCTATTAGGGAAGAAAAAGAGGGGGGTGTTCTTGCACGCACATCTGCAGATTATGAAAATGGCCCTCAAACATTTCCATAGAAACAGAGTTAAGGGCTATTTAGACCACAAGCTCAGCTTCGTGCCCCACCACTTCATTGTCTTTATGAGTCACAGAATGACCCTACAAATGGGTTGTTCCTTCAGGACCATAAATTAGGCGATTTATGGCGAGGCTTTTTACTTTTTCACTCTTTCAGTAATGAGGGGCAGATGCAGACCATCTCTTAGTTTAATTACATAAACAGTTTACCAGAAATTCTGGCCTGTATCTTTTTCCTAACCCCATGGGATCCTGGACCCTGGGTCTCAGAAGCCTATCATCTAGCACAAAGCTCCCTGCTGATCTGTGTGAGGAGATCAATTTGCTGGATTGTCCTGTTAAACAGCAAGGGACTGGCTTTTGCTCCTCGCCACTGAATGGTGGTATTGGGTAGCCAGTGTGTTCCTCGAGCATAGTCTGGCACCAGCAGCGTGGGTGTCACCTAGGAGCCTTAGAAATGTCCTCATCAGGCTTCACCCTGGACTTCCAAGTCAGAACCCCAGGGTGGCTCAGCGCTGTCTTAACAGCCCTTCCAGGTGCCTCTGACGCTTGCCTTGGGTACCCTCCACCTGGTCCTCTCTGCCCCTGAGCTCTGTGAGGGAGGTCAACTGATCCATTCCCGAGGAGCACACTTTCTGAGTTGGTAGCCCCCCAAGGCTGCTCCAGCCTGGCCCTGGCCCTCACCTGACTCCCACTTCCTTGACTTCCTCTCCCGGGGCCTGCTGTCAGCCCAAGCTCATTGTCTGCAGCCACACCCAGCACCCAGTGCCCAGGACTCCTGCCTGTCTACAGCCCTGTCCTGGCATCCACTAGGACTCCTCCCTGAGGAAAGGAGCTCAGGAGGCAGTGTGGAACTGTGAAAAAGAACAGCCAGACAGGTGGTGGCTTTGACACGGGTAGCCAGAGGGGACAGTGAGTCACTCAGTATCTCTGAACTTCGGTCTCCATTATCACAAGAAGGGGGCACTCCAGCCTGGTGGCATGGCTTTGTGCGGATCAGTCATGCTTATCACCTGCCACTATTCTAATTCCACATAAAGATGTCTCCTCATAATTTGGCTTTTGACAGGGGATGGGCTTGGCTTGCCTTCTCACAAAACTTAAAGCAATGGGAGAGACGCAGTCCCATCACTAGACACTAGACACGTCCCCTCTCCAAGTCTCAGCTCCCCTCTCTGAGAAGTGAAGGGATAGGGCTGACTGGCTTTTTAAGGTCCCTTTGAGTACCCCTGAGCGTCTGAGTCCCAGGGCCTGGCATCTGATGGGTGCTTCCACACGGGCAAGGGGACGCCGCAGCAGCCGGGAGGGGGAGGGGGGCAGGCGGCTCGCTCACTCCAGGCTCCTCCAGCCCCCTTACCGAGCAAGGGGGGCAGCCAGTTGACATTGGCTTCACAGTGCGAGTCCAAGAAGGTGATGACGTCCCCAGTCGCCGCTGAGGCCCCCAGCATGCGGGTCCTTATGAGGCCTTCACGTTTCTTGGTGCGGAGGATCCTCACACTGGGGAAGAGGGCCATGTAGTCCTCCAGGGGCTTCTTCAGGTGCTCTGTGAGGGAGAGCAAGGGGAGAGAGGGCTCAGGTCAGCAGTCCTTCCCTTATCTCCCAGCAGCCACCGTTGAGACAGAGATTGCTGGGGTACCACCTCCCTGGACCTTTCAGATAGGGCCAAGGAGGGCAGAGGTCATTGTCCTCAGACGGCAAATGGGAAACTGAGGCTCAGAGTCCAACGAGAGCGCCAGACCTGCAACACAGGTCTTTGGTACAGGAACAGGCATCTGTGACTTAAGCCTGGCTGGGACTTCTTCCCTTATTTTCTAATAACCATACTTTGATTTTTCCTTGGGAAACTGCCCTTCTCAAGGTCACAGATTCAGAAGCAGACATCCCATCCCCTGGTTCCAAGGGAGAGGAGCATGTGGCTTTGTGCCTGACCAATCAGGGCATTCTGTCAGCCTTGGCTACAGTGATTGGTTCAGGGATGACCATGTGACCTGAGCTGGTGAGAGTAATGGGTCTAGAGAATGGTTTTCAGGATGTTTGGAAAGTGACTCTCTGTCTTTTTGCTAGGGTCGCTAAAGTGGTTGGCCACAATCTGGAGCTGTTATTGACATCTTTGGCAAGATGAGGTGATGGGAGGTGTGTGGGGGAATCATCTGAGCCTAAAGATAATATATAAAAACAAGAGTCAGGAGATGGAAATCAATAGGGCTGGGCACCGTTGTGCACGCCTGTAATCCCAAGGGTTTAGGAAGCTGAGGCAGGAGGATCCTGAGTTCAAAACCAGTCTCAGCAACAGTGAGGTGCTAAGCAATCAGTGAGACCTGTCTCTAAATAAAATACAAAAAAAAAAAAAAAAGGCTAGAGATGTGGCTCAGTGGTTGAATGTCCCTGAATTCAGTCCTGTGTAACTCGCCCCCTCACCCCACCCCCACCTTCCCCCAATAAAAGAAGAGATGGCCATAATAGGGGACAGATAGATTCAATGGTGGGAACATGAGGTTAAGGGAATAATTCTATAAACTGAGCCCGCTGTGCTGACCTCCACATGATTTCACTTTTAAGAAGCACTTTACCTGTACCCCTCCCTGGCTTAAGTCTGCAGGATATGTTACATTCCTCAGCAAACTACCTGCTATCTGCAGGAGAATTAAAGGCCCTGAAATGCTAATAAGAATACAAGTTACCATGAAGGGTGTGAGGTGGAGACTTTTGTGACCCTTACACAGACCAGATCCTGGAACTCAGGGATATAAGGATAATTTCCCCTAACCATAAAATATATAAGAACAATTAGAACCAATGGGCCAAAGTGACTTAGAGTGGTCATGGCAGTGGGGACTTAAAGTCTGATGTCATCCTGTAGTCAGTCAAAATCAAGAGGTGGATCTGGGTGGGACTCTCTGGAAACTTCTCTGGGACCCTCAATAAAACTGGAAAGCAGGAGAGGCATGTTGTCCCTCTATTCTTTAAAAGGAACTGTCCCTTGAGAGTGTTCTATTTCTCCCTTTCTTTTCTGTTTTTTGGTGGGGGTGAGTTTACTGGGGATTGAATTCAGGGGCACTCAACCACTGAGCCACATCCCCAGCCCTATTTTGTATCTTATTTAGAGCAGGGTCTCACTGAGTTGCTTAGTGCCTCACCATTGCTGAGGCTGGCTTTGAATTCATGATCCTTGTGTCTCAGCCTCCATGGCTGCTGGGATTATAGCTTTTTTCCCCTTTCTTTTCCCTTACATATGACAACATTTTCCATTTTTGCTTATTTTCCTGTGGGTTGGATCTGACTCTTGTCTGGAAAAGTTGTTTTGAATAAAAATCAAATAATAGTCTCTTTCTACTAAAAGTCTCAGCCTTAATACTGGTGTCTTTGATTTTAATTAGGGTAAGGATCCTTTATAAAACTGCTAGGATGGCTAAAACAAATAAATACACAAACAACCCCAAGCCTAAACCAAAACCTAAAAACCCTCTAGCTTATACCATGCTTCGTGGTGATTGAATGTTTTCCCCCTAGGATCAGGAGAAAGGCTGTGTGCACTCAGCACTGTTATTCAACCCTGTACTAGAATTTCTAGCCAGTGCAACTGGTAAAAAAAAAAGAAAGAAAGAAAGAAAGGGCATAAAGATCTGATAGAAAAAGGTAACAGTGTCTTCAACTGTAGATAATATCATTACACAGAAAATCCTGTAAATCTACAAAGAATCTAGAACAAACAAGTAAACTTAGCAGGATCTCAGAATACAGGTCAATATTTCAAACTCAATTGAATTTCTAATCACCAGCAAATAAAGAACAACTGGAAAATGCAATTAAGATGGTAAAGATAACATTTACATTGTAACAAAAGAAGTGCAAAATGGGGCTGGGGATGTAGGTCCCTGGTTGAGATCCCTGGGTTTGGTCCCCAGAATCTCCTTCTCTCTCTCTTATACACACACACACACACACACACACACAATGCTACTCTAAAAAATAGAACATCACTGAAAGAAGTTAAACACCAAAATAAATGGAAAGATATCCCTTGTTAATGGAATATAAATTATTAAGATAGTAATACCTCCAAAACGTAGAAACAGACTTAATGCTGTTTAAACCATGGCTAACTGTTTTACAGAAACTGACAATTAACAAGCTGATCCTAAAATTTATATGGCAATGCAAGGGGTCCAGAAGAGCAAAGCCATCTTTTGGAAAAGAAAAAGTCAGAAGACTCACATTACTTGATTTTAAAATTTGCTTCAAAACTACAGTAATTAAGACAGTGGGATAATGGCAGAAAGAAAATATAAGTCAATAGAACAGAATTGAGAATCCAGAAATAAAACACTCAGATTTAGGATTAACTGATTTTCCTGAAACCATTTGATGGGAGAAAGAAGAGTCTTTTCAACAAATGGTGCTGGTACTATTTGATTTCTACATGCAAAAGAATTGAAAGGGGGGCTGAGGGTGGAGCTCTATGGTGGAGTGCTTGCCTAGCATGCAAAGGCCTTTGATTTGATTGCCAGCACTGCAAAGAAAAATAAAAAGTATAGTAAGTTGGATCCCTTCTTCATCTACTATGCAATTAATTCAAAATAGATAAAATGTCTATATGTAAGAGCTAAAATCATAAAACTCTTCAAGGAAACACAGGGGTAAATCTTCACCACCTTGGATTAGACAATTATGTCTTAAGACAAAATGCCCAAGCACAAAAGAAAAAATAACTTACACATTAAACATTTTTTAATGCATCACAGGACATGATTAAGAAAGTGAAGAGACAACCTACAGACTGGAAGAAAACATATACAAATCATGTGTCTGAAAAAGGACACATACAGGCAGAGTATACAGAGAACTGCTATGACTCAATAATAAAAAGAAAACCCATTAAAAAAGTGGGCAAAATGCTTTTAGAAAAAAGTTTAGTGATTCTTCAGGATGTTAAAGATAGAATTATCATATGATGCCACAATTCTATCTCTAAGAATATACCCCCCAAATTTGAAGGTCACATTTTGAATAATCCAAAAATGAAATTATGGAATAGCTAAATTCACAGAGACAGAAAGTAAATTAACGATTGCCAGGTATTGGGGTCAGGGGAAGGAGCAGTGGTTATTAATGCATGTGGGGTTTCCTTTTGGAGTAATATTTTGGAACCAGATAGAGATGATGGTTGTATAACATTTCAAATATACTAAATACCACTGTATGCTTTAAGATGGCTAATTGAATGCTACACGTATTTGCCTCAATTTAAAAAATGGGCAAAAGATATGAATAGATACTTCTGCAAAGACAAAAAAAATGGTCAATAAGCACATAAAAAGATGCTTGACAGCATTAGTTATTAGGGAGATGCAAATTAAAACCACAATAAATACCACTCCACACCCAGCAGCATGACTATAATCACAAAGTCGGACAATAACAAGAGTTGACAAGGGTGTGAGAAATCAGAGAGTTCACACATTGTTGATAGGAATGCAAAACCTTGCAGCTACTCTGGAAAATAGTCTGGAACTTCTTCAAACAGTTAAACACAGAGTTACAATGGGACCCAGGAATTCCACTCCTAGGTATGAACCTCAGAGAGACGAACACACATGTTCTCACAAACACTTGCACATCAATGTTTCCAGCAGTGACATTTATAGTTAGAAAGCACCTAAATGTCTATCAATAGATGAATGGATAAAGAAAATGTGGTAATAAGTGGAATACTATCAGCCATACAAAAAGGAGTGAGTTAATGTAACAATATGGGTGAACCTCAAAAATGCTATTCTAGGTTACAGAAGCCAGAGATATAAGAGTAGATATTATAAGCAAGATGTGGCGGTGCATGCCTGTAATTGCAGCAGTTTGGGAGTTTGAGGCAGGAGGATAGAAGATTTGAGGCCAGTCTCAGCAATTAGCAATACTTTGTCTCAAAAAAAAAGGGCTGGGCATGTAGCTCATTGGTAGAGCAACCCTGGGTTCAATCCCTAGTTCCATAAAAAAAGACTGAAATTTCTAGAAAGGTGAAGCTACAGGGACAAAAAGATCGGTGGTTACATGGAGCTGGGCTGGGGGCAGGGATTGGCTGCAAACAGGCACTGAGGAACTATTTTTTTGAGTGATAGAAATATTTAAAAACTGGATTATAGTGATAGTTTCACAACTGTATTTATTTAAAAATACCCTGAGCTGCAGACCAAAACTAGATGGTTTTTATGGAATGTAAATTATACCTCAATGAAGCTGTAAAGTTCTAAAAAAGATTGTGTTTCTATATAATAGCAAAAACCAAGTGGAAAGTTGAATAAAAATAGCCTTTATGGTAGCCTCATGGTTAGGCAACCCAAATAAATGGGGGAATGTCGTATTTATAGATTGGAAGACTCCCTATTGTGAAGAGTCAAGTTTTCTTCAAACTGATCTGTAGACCCAGGGCAGCCCCCCCAAATCACAGTGACCTTCTGAAATTGACAGAAGTGGGCATGAGGGAGCTCACTGGGGTGAGTTTTATTCTCTAAGGTTTATGCGGGCATGTAAAGGAACTAGAAGAATCCA